TGATGGCGGAGTCCTGGTTTAAAGCTGTAGGATGAGCACCCGACCAAGTCTGGTTTGAACTGAAAGGTGGGTGGTTCTAATTCACCAGCCAATCCTTTACAACCCTATACAAGGGTGGCTATGAGTCAGAATCGACTCAATGGCATTTACAACAACCCTTTGACTGTTTCGTTGTTGTTGTTAAGCGCCAGCGAGTCAATTCCAACTCACAGCTACCCAGTATAGGTTTCCTAGAAGCAGCCGGTGGGTTCACAGTCCAGTGCTGATCCTACAGCAGCACACCGGGAGTCCATATATATGCATATGTACACATATGCACGTATACATATATATATCCTGGTGTGGCGCTGTAGGATAATTACTCTACTGCAATGCTGGTTTGAAGTGCAAGGTCAGCAGTTCAAATCCACCAGCCACTCCTTGGAAACTCTATAGAGGGTCACTATAAGTCGGAACCAACTCACCTGCACGGCATAACAGCAACAAAGCTCCTAAGAAAAGGTCTAGGAAAGAAGAATGAAGAGAAATGTGAAAGCAGGGAGGAAGTGGGAAAAGTGGTTTTACATTATGGGGGCTGCAATCAATGAGGAATCAAAATGTGCATAAACTGCTGAAAGTAAAACAAATCTGTCCTCTAGACTTTTATCCAAATTACAAGAAAAAGTTTAAGCAAGAATAAAAGAATGCATTTAGAATGCAGATATGCCTATTCCATCTATAGGAGCCCTGGGGGCACAGTGGTTAAAGCACTCTGTTGTTAATTAAAAGGCTGGTAGTTCAAGCCCACCAGTCATTACATGAGAGACAGATGTGATCGTCTGCTTCTTTGAAACCCTATGGAGCGGTCCTATTCTGTCCTATAGAGTCAGGATCTACTCAGTGGCTGAGGCTTGAACTGTTGGTATTCCCAGAGAGGCAGACCCAAGTTTCTTTCCACTTTTTCATTACTAATAACTGTGTGATAGATATTCTAGGCATACATCTGTACACGCATCTCTGAGCACTGTTTTAGGGCTGTTTCCTAAACGTTAAACACGTCCGATATTTCAAGGCACCTGACTTAAACTGTTACACAGTTTCCCACAAAGGCTGTCAGTGCATGAGAGAGCCCCTCCCTCTGTCCTGCTACCAGCATTGAGCACTGCTTCAAACTCCAGTGAATACATGCAGACCAAAGGATGAGCTTAGGAAATCACCACAGGTAGTCCTCTCACTAACTGACTGAGCCAGGAAAGCCAGAGGGTGAAAATTTGAGGAGATATTTACGTATCTCAGCGTATCCAACCCCAGTATATTTGCTCATTACAGGGAGAAAATAGTAACTTCAGCGTGGTAAGTTACAGGCTGGGAAAAAAAAAAAAACATTCTAGTATGGCATCAATTTTAATTTACTGATTTTAATACTTGCACTTTGGTTATATAAGTCACCTTCTTGTTTTTAGGATATGCACAGGAATACTTTAGGCATAAAAGTGATTATGTTTGAAATTTACTATCAAATGGTTCATAAAAAATTGCACACACATATGAAAGAGAGAGGGGGAAGAAGCAAACAAATATGGTAATAAGGCAAGCAGTACAATGATAACATTTGGGGGAATCTGGGTGAAGGCTATACAGGAATTCTTTGTACTATTTGTGCAACTTTTCCCTAAGTTTCAATTTTTTTCAAAGTAAAAAGTTTACAATGTATACAAAATATCTTTAAGAATTACCTTTCTTCATCTTTGACTTTTAATCTGCAAAACTGTGCCTTTTTCGTTGTTGTTCCTAATTCGTTTATTCAGTCAACATTTATTATAGCCCGAACATATATCTGGTACCAAGGAGGCTAATAAAAAGAGAAATTTTGGAAAGCTAACCAAGTCTCTCAGTCTCCTAGGAGAGACAGACACAGAAATAAATATTGAGAGCTAGGTGACAGATGTTATAATAACACTGGTATTCCCACAGAAGTCTGAGTCAGAAGATGAAGTATTCAAGTCTGCTAACAGAGGTCCTAGAAAATTCCAGGGCTCAAGATGAGATTAAAAGGAGTTTCTTGGTTTTTCATGGTTAGGGAGGGAAATTCAGGAAGAGGAATCAATGTAAAAAAGCTCAGAGATGTGAAGAAACTAGCATTACTGCTTTCTAGCCTCATGACTCCCAGGGAGTGCTCCCCTCTCTTGATTGGGCCTGAGCTCTCAATCACTGGAGCCTGAAATAAGACCCCTGAAGAGGGGTGAAGTAGCCCAGGTAGGAGACGGCTGCTCTACTCTAGAATTCTAGTACAAGAGGAGCAGGGCGAGTGGACTGGGAAGGGTGGGCATGAGAAATATTTCGAAGGCAACAGGAAGAATAAGGGGTAGAGCCAAGTAAAAGGTGAGGAAGGCAGAAAAGGAGATTTGATTCCCTGGCGTCTATCTAGGGAGACAAGATGAAGTGTGGCGTCAATAACAAGAATTCAGAAGAGAAGAAAAGAGCCCATGGAAAGATAAAAATAAGGAACCGTAAGATGAGGTTTCACACAGTGTTAGCACTGCCCAGTCTGTAGGCAGGATACATGCCTGGCATTGAAATACATGTGATGCGGACATGTGATAAACCCAAGAGAACTGATTAGGTAGCCTAGGGAGATTAAGAAAAGGGATGAGAACAGAAACTCTGGAATTTCCATCCTTAGGGAGCGAGTAGGAAAACAGTGCCAGCAAAAACACAGGTGGTCCGCAGGTGGAAGCAGCTCAGTCTGCAGCAGCAGCTGTAATCCTCCCAGCTCCAAGACCTCCCCGCCCCTTCTAGAAGTTCAAGTGCCCAAAGGCACCTCCGCCACTGACCACTGGTCCCCAGCAATGACTTTGTCTCATTTGCTGAAATCAGACTTCTAGGTCCACACTAATGACAGGCTGTATGATTCATTCTTTGTGAATTCTGAGGGCCCCAGTCTGTATAAAGAGCAGATGTTGGTACCATACCATTTATTCTGTAGAACAACACAGAAGGGACCCATCTAAGAAAGAAATGCTGAGGATAACATGCCTTTTGGGCTTCTACACTGAAAGTCCACTTGTTGCTAAGTGCCATCAAGTCGGTTACAACCCATAGTGACCCTGTTTGGGTTTCCAAGGAGCATCTGGTGAGCTTGAACCGCTGACCTTGCAGTTCAAACGGCTTTGCAGTCTGGCGCATTAACCCACAGCGCCACACCAGGACTCCGAAAGTCCAGAAGACAATCAGAAATCAGGGAACAGAAACAGGAGAGATGCTGGGGAATGGATGGGAGAGTAGATTGGGTCCGAAACGTCAAGGTCTTAGAAGGACTAATAAGACCAGGGAGAAGAGCGATTCTCAAACTTTAATGAGCATCAGAATCAGCTGGAGGACAGACCCCCACCCCGTCCAATTTCAAACTTTAATGAGCATCAGAATCAGTTGGAGGACAGACCCCCACCCCGTCCAATTTCA